AGGGATAGAACCTGCTATAGATCTGTTCTTTTGTTGATAGAGATGTTCTGTTCTCTTATCTCACTGGACATCTCCTCTGCTCCCATTTTTTTTCTTCTTTCAAAGCTTAGTTTCCTCACCATACTTTCTTTGTAGTAATTTCATTCAAAGGCTCCTTTCTTCTGCGGGGCTCAGTAAAGTGTGTGTTGGAATGAGGGGGCTCCCTAGCCTTTTGACTTTTTGTCATCTGCTCCCTTCTGGGAGTTCATCAATTAGCCATGATTTCAGCAGCTATCACCCCAAATCCACATGCTGTCTCATACAAGCCCTGTATCTCAAGGTCTGTTTTTCTGGTCATCTGCATAGTGCTTCTTTCTAAATGTCTCTCAAACAAAACATGTATACATCTGAGCTTCCCACACCCGTGTTGTGCATCCTGTATTGATCTTTCCCTCTGGCGGACTCCCGTAGCACATACTTGTCTAGACCACTTGGCTGGGACTTATCACTTTATGCCTTGCATTATTAGTGTATAGCAACTCGGGTGCTGTACGGGTTACAGTACTCACCTAGGAATTGGAGCATTATTTATAAGGCTTTGTGGGGAGACAGCATTAGAGAGTTAAAGCAGCACAGGATGAAGTCTTTTAACCCTAGCTGGGTCTCAGTTTTAACACTGCTTGCTACTTACTAGCAATGGGTAGGTCAGTCAGTCCTACTTTTTTCCCTGTCATCTGTAAATGGAGCCTAATCACCCTTCCCACTTCATAGGGTTGTTGTCAATGATTTATATAAATGAAAGTCACATTTTCAGATTGTTTCTTGGGACAAATGTCTCCTAAGTTCAGATTCTCAAATTCCAGGTCTACAAATGCTTGGAGGTCGCGGGTCCCCTCTCCTCTACTGAGATCGCAGGCTTCTGCCTGTACCGATTGGCTCAGTCCTTATTAGCCTCCTTCACAGACTCCTCCTGCCTTACAGAGTGTGATCTCTGATGCTGCCCACCGTCTTCCCATTCATACCGAAATGGTCCCGGTTCAACACATAACTTCTTTAAAGGAAATGGGACAAAAACAAATGCGGGAGAAAATCTTCAGGGCACCTAGGCTATTGAAACAGACTTTTTGCCATACTTTTTTTTTAACCTCTGAAAGTTAAGTCTGGTGTACACAGACTTAGAAAGCTCTTTTTACTTGTTGTCAATTCCATCTATACCCTTGCTCCTGTTCTTTTCGATGGTCAGCCAGACGTCCTAGGCATCAGTTATGTATACAGTACACCCACTTAAATCTACAAACCACCACTATAGAACCTGGAAAAACAATAATAACAGCTGCCATTTACTGAGTTTGGCATTTTGTTGGTATACCATAGGTATACTTAAGACAATCTGTGAGGAGTCTGGGACTCAGAGAGGTTAACTCACTTGCCGCAGGCCACGTGGCTAGTAAGTGAGAAGCTGAAATGTGGAGCCAGATTTGTTCGGCTATTTAAATTTTGTTCCTTGGATTGTGAAATCCAGATTCACTTAAGCCATCTAAAGAAGGGGGGTGTGGGGTTAAGTATACACATGGAGGGGCTATTGGAAGCCAAAGCAGCTCTAGGGACTGCTGCTCCCTTCATCGTCTCACGGCCAAGTGCTCACCGCTCCTGGCATCTGCTTTACTCTCTGCTTGCTGCCAGTCAGCTTCCTGTTTACTCATAGTTTCTGCTTCTTCATAACCTTGGCTTGCATATGGTTTTGGCTTTTTGTGGCCTCAACTCTACCCCCTGGCACTGTTGCAGTTTCAGCCTCTTTCCTAACTAGTTAAGCTCTTGGAGTTTTCTGAATCAGATTCCCAAGGGTGAGAATCTGATTGGATCTGTTCATTTTTTCTATCCGAACCATGTCATAGGTCACTGGCCAGTCTCTGGATTGGCTGCTCTTGGGTCAGATTCCCATAACTTTACCCACCAGCTGAGCTGGGGGTGGAGGGTGTTGTAGGACTGCCTGGACAGCAAAGTCTCAGTTTCCCTTTCAGGAGAAGGAGCATTTACAGGACAGATTCCAAAGCCCTTATTCTTCCCATGATAACTTGCAGCTTCTCTGGAATGTTTCCTTGCTTTGTCTGTCTTAAAACATATTTGTTTCAAAGGTCAATAAACTTTCCCAGATGAATCTCACTAGGATCTATCCCTGTAATCATTTACGACTAAGCACTTGTGAATATCTATAACTGATTATATATACACACATGATTTCATATTTCTGTTATCTCTCTTAGGTTGGAATCATTTGGGCTTTAGTGACTTCATTACATTTTATAGTCTTTGAGGCTATCTTCTCCTTTCTTTATAATGCTTTACTTAGTTAAGAGTATAGTACCTACTTAAGCCTGAAACTTTTGAACCCTGGCTGGTAGACATTGTTTTTAAAAATATATGCCTTTTGTTTTCTCCTTGTATGTCATTCATCAGTATAGGATACTGCATTTTTCTGATATTTAGATATCTTTTTTATTCTTAAAAAGATTCTTTTTAATATTATTTATATTTAATAAGAATACTAATGTATTCTTAGCATACTTAGTATAAAGTGTTATTAGTATATTTTAGTATTCTAATTTAAATTTTGTTATCACTTGAAATTTTCCCTTATCCCTGTAAAACTATTGCAGGGTATCAAATCACGGCTTAGCATTCTAGAATAGCACAACATCAAAAGTATTGTGAACTTAGAGCAGAGCCGTAGAAAAATTAATCTATGCTGTTCTTTGTGGTTTAAATTGTGGTTTCCTAAGAGACCAATCATGACAACTGAGGTTGTACATGGAATATTTCCATAGATGATAGGTCTGAACTTCTGGGTTCCTGGGCATTAAGTTCTCAGGAAAAGGTGCCTATAACTTGAACAGTTCTACCTAACACCTTATATTTTATACCTGTGGTTGATAACTTGCAGTAAAGCATCCTAGTGACGGGAGATAGCAAATCGGCAGCTGAAACAATTGTAAACTCATGGAGTAGTAGGAAATAGTTCTAGCATGTATATAATATTAACACGCAACTGAATGTTAGTTGTGCTGTATTTATTTAAATCACTTTAAAGGACAGATATGTTTCTGTGAATTTTATTTAGCAAGTTCTTACTTGTCCATGGTATACCTAGTACTGTGCCTAGAATAAGTTCCTTTGTTGCTGCTTTTTGTTTTTAATGGAAAGAATTAGGAATTACATATATGTATATTTTGTGTATATGGTTGTTTTTAATTAGGTGAGACTTGCTAGTTCTCATCATTTTTGCTGGAGAATGTTGGGAGCATCTTGGAATATGGAGATGGAATATGGTGACTAAGTTACCAGCAGGTTAACTAAGATGAATATTTTCAGTTCCTTGCTGTTGGAAAAACCTTTGAATGGCCACACCTTTTTTTTTTTTTTAACAGTTTATTTATTTATTTAGTAATCTCTACACCCAGCATGGGGCTCAAACTCAGAACACTGAGATCAAATAGCCACAGCTTCACTAGAAGACCCTAGGGGACACTTTATTTTCCTTATGGTAGCCACAAGTTGAGTGTCTTCACTTCTTAGAGGAGTTAGGATTTTTCATTATCATGGCAGATGGCTCTTTCCAAGGTGTTAGAGGCCAGAGGCCAGGGGAAAAACTTTGTAATACTGCTGTGATACTACCCTGTAATACAGCTGAACAGGCCAACATGAGAGATGGCAAGCCTGCCAACCCTGCCCGGGGTCTGCCTGTAGAACTTGCTGTAGAGGCCCTTCTGCAATGCACAGGTTCTAGGCTTCAAACACCAACTTGAAAGTGATCAAGAAAAGGGGCATCTTAAGCCGCCTTAGATAATTTCAACTGGGAAACAAAGGAAACTACCTCCTCCCTTTGTGTCCTTTTTGCAGTTTCTGTGTCCCTTCAGTAGAACACATTCGGTGGCATCTATTATTTAACGTATAGAAGGATTACACTGTTCCAGTTTAAAGGAAGGCTTACCAAACCAATGGCCTTAAGTGATTTTCGCTATTTGATACTGTCATCTTGAAGGTAAGCTGGTAAACTCTGGCATGGGAATGAAGTATAGAACTTTACCGTGCGTACTTGCGGTGAGAGGGTGGGGAGTGTAGACCTGTTTTCCCGTGCTAAAATTTTAGCGTTGTGATTTGGGGGAACGCGGATTTGCAGAGGTTTGATGGAAGGCTGGTTTCTTGGTTGAAGTAGGAGTGATTGCTCGCACCCTTTTGGGAGACTGGGGGCGGGGTGGTGGGTAGTTTGGAAGGATGAAAGAAAAAAGACCCGGGACTGGTTCAGTTACTACCCAGGTGTCAGAGCGCTCCCCGAAGCCATACCCTTAAAAGGGGCTTCGAGCAGGGGTGCAAAGCTACGGCTGGTGCTTAGGCAAAGAGCCGAGGGGAAAAAAAGAAAAGAGGAGGGGGGTGGCTACTCCAAGGAATGTGCGGCACGCGGGGAGCCAGACCCAACCATTGC